TTATCGATATATTTGCACAAACTGAAAAATTGAAAATAAGCGGTGAAAACTTACATTGATTTTTGATTTTTAAAGACGCAAGAACTCGAACCTGAAAAAAATGACAATTCTCCCTGAAAAAAAATATTTGCAAAACTACAATGAAGATTCATAATCAAGCAGCAATCATTAATATATGTACATGTTTGGTTCAACAGTCTTGTATTCCTAATACGGCAGATCCAAAACGTAATAATGCAGACACATTTGTCACTTGTATGAAATTTTAACACAAAATATTTTTAAATCTTATCAATGCAGGATCATGCAAGGACATTATTCTTACCGATCCCAACAGAAAAAGTGGGGAATACAAAATTTTCACAGATGACGGAAGAAGCTTCTCTGTTTTCTGTGAGTTTACTTCAGAGTCACATGGCTACACGTTCATTAAAGACTTTCCAGGAAATTCTCTCCTTCTAAACACCATTTTAACAACCACCAATGAAATCAAAGTTGTTCACATCCGGACTTCTGGTAAAAGCTACAGCACAATAATGGAAGAACTCAGCCGGTACAAGTCCAACTATTCATTAAGCCTTCAGGTCAACAAAAATGACGGCTTCAGTACACCGCTGAACGCACGATTTCTAGGGAAATACATTTATGTAGGATTCCTTCCGATTGCGTTCGCTTCAAATCGTAATATCCAAGGATACAGAGCAGGATCTAAAGACTGGGAATTCAGAAATTGTGATGCAAACCCAAATTCATACATCGCCTTTTTCTACAACAATAATAAACTCCAAACGCACAGCTACCACAAGTCATGTTGTTATAATAAATTCATGCGAAAATGGATTGACGTCTCTACAAGATATTACCCAAGTATTCCTTCCAGCTACTTCAGATTTTTTGAGATGCACATGGGAGGATGTGGAGGATATGTGGTTCCTGGTTTTAATTCCTTTTCTGATATTGTTGGCGCCGTGCCTGGGTTTCGCTTTGGTAAGTTGTAGAATTGAATACTCAAACTTCATTTCAACATTAGATGGAACTGCCACGTGTATTAAAGCTTTTTTTTAAAATTCTGTTTCAAGATTTATCATGTGAGGATTTACACTGTCGAAATGGTGGATCATGTTCGATGAGAAGAGGGAGACCTTCCTGCTCATGTAGATCAGGATACATGGGTGATCAGTGTCAAATCAAAGTACCATGTAAGTTTGTTGTAGATTAATGCTTCATTAATATGATTGCGCTGTATATTTTAATTTCACCGGATAATACCTTTCATAGGTTTAATTTCAGTCGCAAAGTTAAAAAATATTATAAAGGTCATTTTGATCTGTTTCTTGTATGCTTTCGTGTATGCGTTAAGAACTCTTTTATTTGTTTCACTTTAGATTCCTGTAAAGACATTGCTTTCTCAAAGCGTAGAGTAACTGGAGAATACACTATTTACAACAGACAAAACTAACCCTATAAGGTGTTCTGCGAATTTCATCAGACCTTTGGTTACACGTTTGTCTCGAACACAAATGTAGCCGTCAACGTGGATGATTTGTTTGAAATTAGATCTCATGTATTGGTCCGACATTTACGACAAGGTCAACAATATGACTCAAATCTGCAGCAGATATCGTCCCATATGAACAAACCACTGACAGTAAAATATAACTCAAATGCTGGATTCAACACTCCCGTAAATGCCAAACAAATGGGCCCATATCTCTATCTTGGATTCTTGGACGCAACAACAGCAAGATCCAGGTCCACACAGGGGTACAGAGTGAATAATGCCGACCAAACCTTTCATAACTGTGATGCCAATCCCAACAGTTACCTTGCTTTCTATTTCAACAAGGGAAATAAACCTCCTGGTGGATATTACAAGAAGTGTTGCTACACTCCATTAATGAAGAAATGGATTGATGTAGGGGTACCTGTGAGTCGGGCTAATCAGCTTCCAAAGTCATACTTTCTTCAGTTTGAGATGCACATGGGGGGTTGTGGAGGATATGCAGTGAGCGGATACAATACCCTGGCAAGTGTTCGCGGTGCGTCTCTGGGAATGCGTTTCGGTGAGTAACTTCACGAAATTTTTTTTCAAAATATACGTTCTATAATGAACATTTTTAAAAATGCCATTAAATCTCATTGCATTTTTTTCAGAATTGTGAAGTTATGGAATTTAAAAAATCCCATTAATTCACTTTGCCTTTTTTCAGAAATATGAAGATATAGAACAGGATGCAAGGAAAAAAAAACGAAAAAAGAAATGAATATTAACATGTATATGAATACAGTTTTCGTTATTAAAAGAGTTATCTCATATTCAGAGTTGTGCCATTAATAGCAGTCAAGTTTATAACGTGGCACAGTGGTTATTAAGGACATACGCAACGTACGTGAACATGTACTTTTCAATGTACCTTTCCCATGGATAATTTTCCGAGATATTCCTAGTTTAAAATCATAATATCATCACAAGTTCGTAGACAAAAAACCAGCATACATTTCCAGGAGTTATGATCAGATATCAAATGATGAAAATCTTTGTATTTTTAAAAGAAAAATTCAAGGAAAAAAGTTTTAGCAGGTATTATCTAAAAATTTGAATCAGAAGAGGTGTACAACATTACCAGACATCATAAATTGCACAGAGGTTCCTCAGTTATTTTAGATATGAAATTATTCAGGGAATGGGAAAATAAAATTAACTTGAAGAACAGTTAGAGTTCTTGCATTGTTCTGGAGTCGCGGAATAAGGATTTGATTCTTTAGGTAGTACACAACAAGTAGGCCAATTTTTTCCTGAAATTCAATTTTGTAGAAGAAACTTTAATATTTTGTTTTTAGATACAAAATCTTTCTTTACTTGTAATATGAAAGAAAAGTGCACTTCGTTTTGAATAGATATGGAGAACCTAAGGTCCGGGATTGGTTTTAGTCTTTACAAAAAGCTTAATTATATATTATATAAGCGGAACGAATTTCTCCTCTTGATAATCGTAAATAAGACAAGCTTTCAGAGATAGCAGCATTACTCAGTCACCGTTGTCTGATCCACAACACAAAAGATCGTTGGAAAGACGGCAGGGATAGGAATACATGACGGGATGATGTATTTCATTGCTTATGAAGAAAAAATCAGGGTACCACGCATATAAAACTTAGCCGCTCCCCTTATCTGAGAAAAAAATTAATCATAGCTCATCTTCATAGAAGATTCGGCCCTTTTTAATTTTGACGCTTCAAAAGGTTAAAATGTAAAAGTGATGGATATATCAAGAAAATCTCAAATTTGAATCTAATCAATATTTTATTTCACAATGATTTATATAATCACTCTGACAAATAAAAGTAGGAATGAACTGCCCTAATCGGATTCAAATTTTTGAAATATTGAGGGCAGAATTGCAAAGAATAGGCCGGACATTTTTCATTAATAAATCCTCGGAATATTGTGGATTTTTAGACTAATGAACCTTCGGACTATCGGGCTTCCGACGAGCAGGCTTTGTCTAGTCAGGGACGTATGATTACACGTGTATATTATAATAAATGTACATAATGGTCTGGTGAAGTTTTGGACTGGCGGGCCTTCGGACTATATGGATCACCCCATTTTTATTTAAATATCTATTGAAATCATTTTATTGAGGCTGACATGCAATTTTTTCCCACTAAATACACCATTCTGAATCGAGCCTCATCCAATCGCGTTAAATTAATCAGGTCTCTAGAGGCGATCTCCATTTTCGGAGGATAGCCATAATTTAATATGGCGGCCACATTCTTTCCATATATGGAAAATCGCAATGCATTGTGGGATATATATGTTATCCTCCGATTTTGGAGGATAACACAGGTAATCTTCAAACGCCTCGTATCTACCTTTAGTGAAAAAGTGCATGTACCAGAGTATATGTAAATAAAACTTCATACATTGACATTGTACTATCGATTGCATATGGCGATTTGAGATTTTATTTCTAGATCTTTTACAATCTAGTTTCAAAGTTGACTTTTTTGCGCTCTCTTTCTTCTCCAAATTTCCTTTCCTTTACTATTCATTTTTTTCTCTCCCTATTAAAACAAATAATAATGTACTTTAATATAACATTTCATATTTTGTTTTAATTTTAAAAAGGAGAAAAAGGAAATACGGAAGGATACATATTTAAATGCAAGATACTGTCCTATAAGATATGTTGATAAAGAAATGAATGAATTAATAAATAAAGGAAGGTAGGAAGAAATAATCTGAATTGCATAAATAAAATAAATACTTAAAAAGAAATTTATATACTAGTACATAAACATCCTCACAACGTCAGGGGTCGTGAGGATGGTACATAAACGAATACATAAATAAATAAAATATTAGATAAATAAAATATTGAAGAATTTTTATACGGATGAAATAAAAAATGATTAAACTTGATTTTCAAAAAAATATTTAATCAATATTTCTAAACCAACAATATTTAAATCTAACTAATTACTATTTTAAATAATTTACCTGGCCTATACAAGCAGGGAAGGGTAATAATTGACGTTAATAACATAAATGTTGATAAATCTTTAATCAGACTTATCTGTAGTTGTATTTTTTATTTGTTTTTGGTTAAGATATCAACATGTATATGGTTCATAAATAATTTTAATAAATGCATGAGTTCCTGTTCTTTGTTTGGTTAAGCGTTAACTGTCCTTCGTTTTAAAAAGTCCGGTAGGTGGCGAGACCGCTATCTTCCGATTTCAGAGGATAAAAATAAACTATCCTCCGAAAACGGAGGTCGCCTAAACCCCCTACGATAATTTTCTCTTTTTTTTTTTGATTGAAGAGGAATTTGTATTCGCTTTTGCCCCCAATACCCCCTCAACTGGAAATTGAACCGAATTCTAGACTCGATGGAAAGTACGAAGTGTTTTCGATCGCGTAATTAGTGAGCAAGATTATTGTTTGGTTTTGCCACGTCTCGATTTCCGTACTTCGCAGAAACCGGATGTTTTCTTAGCAGCGCCACTGTGCGGTGGCGGGAAAGTAAATGAGGTAAGAGGAGACGTTTCGTAAGACTACCTGCAGTGATACTAGTGCATAAAGTTCTACCATCGCAGTCTGCATGTATATCTGAACATGTAAGTATATAATGAAGAATAATAATGGGCAAAGAATGAGAGAAAATTATTCAAATATATCATGATCGTAGTATTGTATGCAATGGAATATTTTGATGCAAGTTCGTTACGAAACATCGTTCATTTATATAATTCCCCCATGTTCTTCAGCTGTTCTTGAGACGTAAAAAACAAAAAAAAACTTGTCATAAAGTATTATGGGGGAGGGGGGGGGTAATCCAACGAGCCGCCGTTAATTGCGCCGTGGCTTGCTTCAGAACTTAAGTACTTATCAGGCAAATTAAAAATTTTTGTTTTCTAAATCGAAAGGTAGAATGTTGTCCTTATTTGAGTAACTGTTGCCATTTTCCCCATGCATTGTTGCAATGTTCATTCATTTTATTGATGTTTACGCATCTATCAGCCGTCTATAGCACTTAATTCATCATCGGCTAGCATTTTAATAAAAAAAAAACTTCTGGCCATCGCAATATTTAAATGACTGATGATAGTCCCTCTCGACTTTTCACATACATGCCAAGTTTTGAAAATTCCTATGGGGGATTTTGCACGTGACGACAATTTTCAAAGCTTTAAATTTGCGACATTTTGTCGTGAAAATAAATGTTTATCCCTTTTTTTTGATTTATAACATCAATATCACTTGTTAATACAATTTAAGAATAAATAATACAAACAAATTTTTTCCTTCCAAAATTCAAATATCTTTTGCTTAAATAGGTACCTCTCTCGCTAAAGAAGTGATATCTGTTTAGTTTAACAACATTATGTCTGAAAAAGACACATAGTTTGGTGAAAAATGTACAACTTTCAGTTCAATAAATTATTTTGCAGTTTTAGAAATATATGAGATTTTGTTACTGTACAGTTTCTGGGAAACATTTGTAAAATTCTATATTTACATTTTACACAATTAGAATTTCCTAATTAGACATTAAATTGAAAGAAATATTGAAAAATTGCAATGCATTGTGTTTGTGAGGGTGTGTGTGTGTGAGAGATAGAGAGAAAGAAAATTTGTTTGTGGTATGTACTTTAAACAGAAGTGTCATTTTATTCCCTATTAATAACTAGACACCATGATGATTAATTTTATCACACACACAAAACAACTTGAAGAAATAAATTTACTCTTGAGATCATAAATTATTTAAAACAGGGATATCCCCTATCCCAAACAAAAATTAAAATTGTTATACATGTAATCATGATGAACTTTTGCATAATCTTGGCAGTGTCGTCTGGGTATTCCCTTGTCGTATTACATTTTTTGGGGGGGGGGGGGGAGAAATTCAGTGTACTTGAGGTATAAGACTTTGTTGTTTCATCTAAATTATTTTCATCTTATTTTAACTGGTAAACTTTACAATATTTTTATTACAGCAGCTATGCTTTGTTGTTTCTACTTTCGTTTTTAAAAAACGATCAACATGGATTAATTCCAATTTTGTTGTTAGTTTATCATATCACTGTATTTAATTTTTGTTTTTATTAATATGATATAATTAACCCCTAAATCTATGTGTTTCACTATGCATACCCCTTCTGATTGAAAAGTTTAATCCCCTAACTGCTCCAGGCTATGTTACCTGTACCTGGACAGCTATGTGCATTCAAGCAAGAAGTGATTTCCTGTGGCTATAATTAACACTTCTGCATGAGTTAAATAATCAAAGAGACTAATCTGTGTGCATTGAATAAACAAGTCTGATATTCTAACCCCAACTGACAAAATATTTCGGTAGGGAAATTTTAAGTTGATTTTTTTCAAATCGGGATTTTAGGGTAATTTTGCTTTCACGATCGGGAGAGCGGGATCAAAGGGTAAAATTGGGAGGAGCCCGCGTAAATCGGGAAAGTTGGCATGTATGCTTTTCACCATCCTTAGAGTTTAATTAGGTCAACTTTTTCACAGGCACTTCGCAGCTAGGTTAAGGACGCCCATGAAATATACGCTTTAATATATTCAGGGAAAATGAATACAATTTTAATATTTTTTTAAACATCATAAGTTTTGATAAATGTGAATTGTGGTGTTTTCACTTGTATATATCGGGTCTCTGCTGAGTTCAGGGATGGGGTAATCGTAATCGAGTAATCGTAATCGATTGTAATGATTACTTTTTTTCAAGTAATCGACAGTAATCTGTAATCGAAGAGATTTTCAATTACTTGTAATCGTAATTTAATCGATTACAGCTAAAATTTTCAATGTAATTATAATTACTTTTTCGATTACTTTCGATTATTTTATACATAAATGGATGTTATTTTGGAGAATTATTTCCAGTCAGTCACACATAAAAATTTAATATAAAATATAAACCACCTGGTGTAATGTTTGGATTTCCTAACTTTTATTATTATAAGTTTAATGATGTTCTCAATAAATTTTGCATTATAGACCTACTGGTCTAGTATTTAATAATTCAGAAGTGTATTTCAACCATTTATTAATAAAATATACAGATTTTTCGTGTGCATTTTACATTTGAACCACTGTCCTCTTGCTGCATGTCCCTTTTCATATTTCAGATGTTGAAAAACTTTGTCTTGTAATAGAAAATTATAAATAGCAAAAACAGATTGAAGTGCTGTATTAAACATAAATAATTTGGTAAATAAACTACTAGTATATTGTACTCGAAAAAAGAAGATGGAAATACTTCTGAAAATGTTTAAAAACAACCTCAAACTTGTGTTTTAGTAACTTTAAAATTTGCAAAATCATTCGCATGTTTTCATTCCAACTTGTAAGGTTGCTTTTATATCAGTGAGAGGTTATAAGTGTCTGTAAGAGAGGGTGTGTGTCACTTTGTTTGCTTATCTTAATTGGCTAATTAATTGACTGAGACATTTGCAGATAATGAGGTGTAAACTGTGAACTACCTAGTGTTTAACTTTTATTCCATTGAAGACAAACAATATTAATAAAACAATTAATAGCTCTCAAAACATTTATTTCAATACAGAATGAAATTGTGCTATTTGTTTCATTACTTAAAGACACACTTAATTTACATGTTTATTACTAAGAGTTCTAATTTACTTACTTTTTTGAAAAAGACACGCACAGGAATGTTTAATATGTACTGTCAACATACGGGCAGCCCAAATACTTCTAATGAAGTAATTCACAATAAAATATTAAATAATTTTTGCAACAAGTCAATAAATGTGGAGGTTCAGATATCCAAGGTTGAAAGGAATATTAATTAATTCCTTGGCATATTTTATTGTAGGAATCATGTCTCCACTTTCCATGGTAGAGAATCCCTCATTTGGGCATTTAGTGAGAATGTTAGCCAGAATAAAACCTTAATCTGTAGAATCTGTACTGAAACTGCAGGAACACATTCAAACTTCAGTGGCTAACATCAACATTTACCATTTAAATATATATTGCTTTGATATTTGAAGGGATAAAAACTTGGAAGTAATCGATTATTAATCGATTACATCTTCCAAAGTAATCGATTACAATCGATTACAGGACAAAAATGAGTGTAATCGATTATTAATCCATTACACAAAATTCCTCCAAGTAATCGATTATTAATCGATTACATTTTTCAGTAATCGTGCCCATCCCTGGCTGAGTTTGGCCAAAGCGACATCGCTTACATCAGCTGTTTGTCACGTGACAGGTTTAAAATTAGAACATGTATGTACTACTACAAAGATTGTAAAAGTTCAACGATATACGGGCATCTTTCCGCTATAAAATTTATTCTGTTTTCTTTGAGACGAATTCCTTAACACGAAAAGTGCTGGGAGCAACTTCCCTATGTTCGGGAATTGTTTAAAATTTAGCCCTCTTTCTATAAACTCCAGACAAAAATATAATACGCATTGGAATAATGTTACATTACGGAATAAATAAACAATGCACAACCAGCTCCCAGCACTTTTCAGAATAGTAGGAATAATAGCTACACGTGTTTAAAAATTCAGAATTTATAGTGAGGCAGATATCTTGAACTTTTGATATTTTCGAGGGGCTGGACCTGTCATTCTAGCACGTTACTGTACAAATGTGCTACCAACGGCTTTATATAAAGTCTACACATTATCAATTTAGTTTGACAATAAAATGTTGATTAATATATTTCAGAATATGTCTCTCTTTTGCTCCAACTACGCGTGTTTCATATTTATTTTTATTTTTACAAGCTACGATAAAAGCTTGATCCACGCCTCAAGTACAGAGAAACTGCGTGTCAAACTAAGAAATGACGTCATCTCAGTAAGTACAGCGAGATCAAGCTGGATTTCATTCTACATACGCTAAGTGCTCTTATGGCAAGATAAGTTGCACATCCATTTATCTTTATAATATTAATGAAAAACGAAAGTATTTAGTGTGTTTTAAAAAGAACGTATAGTATTTATTCATCGAGATTCATTTGTATTGTTTTAACGTGACGTCATAATAGCTTTCCCAAACCTCTGCCAAGGCTGACGTATATATGGGAGTCCTTAACATAGCTGCGTTGTTTCTGTAATAATTTTTTTAACCCATATATAATAATAACACAAGGTATCTAACTCCAAATTACAAGGAATACTCCCTCCCAGAATCGCAGTCATTTACACTTTCTCAGAAAATGCACTGGCAAACTGTTTATTTCCATTTCTTCTATGTTAATTTTTCTACACAACCATGCTTGTCTTTATTTTCTATCTCTGTAAACAGCATCAAAACTAGGGTTAGATACCGTTAAGGATAAATGGTACGAAACTATACCGGTATTTTTAAAACGATACTGTATTTTTAACGATATGGTACTATACCTCGATGAATGAGAATGAGGGCTAATTTTATAACAAATGTGCTTTCACCAATCTTCAACCATTCAATGTTATAATCTAAAATGAGCCTATAAACTATGTTATATTTCAATCTTTTGATAAATCATCAACAAAACAAATAAATTGAATCTCAAACAAATTAATTTAACTAGATACAGCTGACCGCTTCACCCGGTTGCCACTTGCCAGGGCCCATTTTGTTTGGTCGCATTAAACGACGAAACATTAAAAATGGATAATAATGCACATCACATTTTTGCGACATTTTGCATTTTTTAATTACAATTATTATCAGTTTTTATAAATAAAATTAAAACATGATTAATGTGAATGTTTTTTATTTTTAAATATACGTATTGATTTACCTCGAATATCCGCAGTCAAAAGCAAGTATCATACTAAGCATCCACTTCATTAATTAGCGTACCCTTTCAGTGCACGGAGAATTTTATTTTAGCGAGTCTGGAATCTCTTTTTTCAAAAATCATTTTGAATGTATTAAAATGTTTCAAAGATTGAGAAATACCATCATTAGTACCGGTATTAAGGTATGTCACTCGTGAAATTTGTTATATCAAGGATTTTTTGAGAAGTATGTTTTGGATAAGTACTCATATAGTATGACTCAAAATCACAGAGAAAACAGGGGGCCAGTGTGCATCTGACTGAGCTACAGTACAATTAAGTTGACCTTTTTGCACTTAAATTTTAACTCTTTGGTTAATCACTTTAACCCTTATCATATTTTATCAGATGTAACCATAATCTTAAATATAATCTTATTTTACGTAAAATAGTTTGAATGATATTTATCATTGAACAAATCTTGCAAATTAATGTGCGTAAATTATTGTGTGACCTTTTTGCACTAAAAAAGTAACATATTTGGGGTATTAAAAATCTAAATAGGCAATAAAATATTTTCTTGTATCAAACTTTTTACGACTTAAGTGCTGATCGGTCACAAGTATCGAGTAGTTTTAAATAATGAAAGAAAAAGTTGGGGTCAGTGATGTAAATTTTGAAATATCGGTCAAAATATGCGATTTTCAGGCCAAAAACGGTGTAAATTTTATCTTGACTTCTTTAATATATCTTCATTTCTCGGCAAAGTTTGTTGAGGGAAGGTGTAAAATTTGTTATAAAAATATAAATCAAGACCTATATTTAATATTCCAGGCATATCATAACGGAAAATATTCTCTGAGTAAAAGTATGTGAGGCTAAAGTTCCAAGATATTAAATTTAATAAATGTGCAGGTTTGCAGAATTTTCTGCTAAATATCCTTCCACCACAAGAAATAGTCCCTCATAAATCTTGCTTCTTTATGAATTTTTGAGCAGTTTTTAGCTCACCTGAGCTGAAAGCTCAAGTGAGCTTTTCTGATCACCCGTTGTCCGTCGTCCGTCCGTCCGTCTGTAAACTTTTCACATTTTCGACTTCTTCTCAAGAACCAGTGGGCCAATTTTAACCAAACTTGGTACAAAGTATCCTTAGGTGAAGAGGAGTTTAAATTGTTAAAATAAAGGGCCAAGTCCCCTTACAAGGGGAGATAATCAAGTAAAGACAAAAATAGGGTGGGGTCATTAAAAAATCTTCTTCTCAAGAACCACTGGGCCAAAAAAGCTGAAACTTATGTGGAAGCATCCTGGGGTAGTGGAGATTTTGAATTGTTAAAATCATGACCCCCGGGGGTAGGGCGGGGCCACAATAGGGAATCCAAGTTTTACATTGAAATATGTAAGAAAAATCTTTAAAAATCTCCTTCTCAAGAATCACTAGGCCAGAAAAGCTGAAACTTATGTGGAAGCATCCTGGGGTAGTGGAGATTCTAAATTGTTAAAATCATGACCCCCGGGGGTAGGGCGGGGCCACAATAGGGAATCCAAGTTTTACATTGAAATATAAAGGAAAAATCTTTAAAAAATCTTCTTCTCAAGAACCACTAGGCCAGAAAGGCTGAAACTTATGTATAAGCATTCTGGGGTAGTGGAGATTCTAAATAATAAAAATCATGACCCCCGGGGGTAGGGCGGGGCCACAATAGGGAATCCAAGTTTTACATTGAAATATAAAGGAAAAATCTTTAAAAATCTTCTTCTCAAGAACCACAAGGCCAGAAAGGCTGAAACTTATGTGGAAGCATTCTGGGGTAGTGGAGATTCTAAATTGTTCAAATCATAGCCCCCGGGGGTAGGGCGGGGCCACAATAGGGAATCCAATTTTACATTGAAATATGTAAGAAAAATCTTTAAAAATCTTCTCCTCAAGAACAACTGGGCCAGAAAAGCTGAAACTTATGTGGAAGCATCCTGGGATAGTGCGGATTCTAAATTGTAAAAATCATGACCCCCGGGGGTAGGGCGGGCCCACAATAAGTATTACAAGAGGGGAAATCTGGTTAAGAACAGCATGGCTAAAGTTACTCAGGTGAGCGATGTGGCCCATGGGCCTCTTGTTTCATTGAATGTTGAACAATTTACATTGTTTCATTTAAATATGTTATGAAAATTTAATTTTATTAAATAGTTCTGTAGTAAGAGGTTCTGCCTGACCTTTTCTAAAAAGCTGACGAGTGACATACCTTAAATAAAACAGTATTTTACTGGTATTTTTGAAGTAACTATTCGGTACGGTATTGGTACCGAGTACTGGTATCCAACCCTAATCAAAACTGCTTGCTGACTGAAAAATTCAACTTGCACAAGGTTTGAGTGAATTTTCTATTGAGGAATCTGGCTGACTTAAGTGTTTCTGTCCTTTGTAGGGCTGAGGTCATGAAATCACTTTCTCCTCAAATTCCCAGTGCTGAAGCTGCAGTTCCCAAGGAGGCTGCTAGTGATGGGACTATAGAGCATGTAGCAAAGAGCACCCAGAATTCTGATCAGACAAAAGTTACACTAGATGTGGTAAGTTATAATCAAAGTTTCTTAAGTAAATAAGCATGTCTTAAGAATCATAAGGAAACTATAAGAAAATGAGCAATACGTTTTCAAATTTAACATTCCACTAAGAGTGCCAACACTTAATATTTATGGACCAGCTTCAGAATCTGAAACGCTGGGCATAACATTGAAGACTAAAAACATGATAAAGATTGAAAAGAGGTCTGTGAAAAAAAAGAAATATTACAGAAAAGAATGTATACAGTAAAACTTGTTTAGTACGAACACGGGTATAGCGAATTCACGGATATAGCGAATTTTTCTTGGATCCCCAGCTATATAAATTTAACGAATTTCTTATACGGATATAATGAATTACGGATATAGCGAAGTAATTTCACAGGTCCCAGTGACTTTGTTATAACGGAGTTTTACTGTATGTGCATTATAGTCAGCCAACAACACCAGCTAATGGTATATCTTCTTGCTTTTGTTGAGAAATAGCATATTCAAGATGAAAAATAAATCTACTGTAATAGTTTCATTTGAGGTACCAATATCCTCATAAGGCCAGCATTTTTTTATTTTTAGGTTTACAAACCTGCCGCTCGAAATTTTTAATTTTCAGGAAAAAAATAAAATTGAGAAAAACGGATTTTTTTTTCTTTCCCGATGTCGAATTTGAGTCAGGATCGAGATTTCAAATTTACGAACTCGTATTTCCGGTTTAAAATAAACATGGCGGGTAAATAAAGGTAGACCTGCATAGTTCATAGCAGCATCATAGCTTGGTTTAGTGTAAAATTTATCGATAGGAGTGCCATTCAAAACGTTTCATCCGTTCAGAGGACAAATAAAATGCTGACAACTTTGTTGCACAATGACATGTTGGTGAGATAATTATGTATCCATATTCAAAAGTAACTGCACGTAAATTATTTCCTCCCACAGGTTAAAAAATGTCCATGGTAGCTATAGCCAGAGACATTATTTAGGTCTCTGTTATAGCCTAAAATCTAAGCAACATTCTGTAGAAAAGGATCACTTATGCATCAGATGTATTGAATGAATAAAACTATGGGTGAAGTGAAGTCCATTTGAAGGTGAAATAAACAATAGCCTAAAGAAATGAAATATTTTAATTATTAAAGAAAACAAGTATATACCAATATATACAGGCATATAGTATCATTTTTAAATGTGTCAGCCAGAAAAATTATTTTACACTTAATTGAAGAAATTTTGACCCCCCTCCCCAATACTCCCTGTCTGTTATATGATAGGAATATTTACTTAAGGTCTCGAGTATATTTTTTAAAACAATTTCTACACATTCATGTAACACATATTCTAAAAAAAATGAAGATATACATAAATTAAAAGAGTTTAAAAATTAGATTTTTTTAAATTTGTATTTTGACCAACATCTCAAAATTTATATCACTGCATGGCCCCAACTGGCAGATGATGAAATAAACAATTTAAGGTTCTACCTTCCTATTTTTAACCATTGTGTGACCAGTGGCAAGGAGCCTGTTAAGAGAGTATAAAAAAAGAAGCAAAAATGAATGTACAAAAGTTGATAATTTATACAAAATTTTTTTTAATTTTTTTTTTTAATTTCCTCCTCCTACGGGACTTTTTCATTCTGGTGTTCGTAAACCTAAAAATAAAAAAATGCTGGCCTAAGTTTAAAAAAGTTTGCAGTTTGAAATGTGTGTCTATACATCTTTGTCTTGTTATAAGGGAGAGAAAGGGGAAAAGGATGTTCAGGTGGAAGATAAAACCTTGAGCTCTGATTCAAAGGAAGACACTGGGGACATAAAGGAAGATATAAAGGAAGGACAGTCAGACAAAGCTGTGATAACCAGTGAAATGGAGAAGGAGGAGAAAAGTTTGCAACAAGAAGCTGAAAAAGAAGAAGAAAAAGTTAAAAGTGAACAACAAAAGGTAACACAAATTGACAAAAAGTGTTACTTTTGGTTAGAGGAAGGTCCTTATGCTTTAATCATATGTGTTTGGAATGGAAAATAGTAGTAAATTTTATCTGTACAAACATTAAAAGAGAAGTTAATGTATAGCTATGATGGTGCTGACTGTTCAATATGCGCTCTAAACTTGGTAAATAGATGGCTTCGTAACACTACTAGCTTATGAATTAATTGACAGCAGCAGAGCGGGATATTTTCACCATCACAAATTGACCAGTATTTGCTTTTTTCACTATGAATATAATTCTTCAGTTGTCATTGATATGAAAATGACTTGTCAGCTGCTGTATGGTTAGTTCTCCGAGTCACTAGATGGCATTGTTCACTTTGATATGTAATGACCTCATGTCCTACCATAGATATAAAGAAGGACACTGTAAAACAAACATGATGGCTAAAATACACAGATGTACGAATTTTGAAATTTTGTTATCGATTGAAATTTGTGTCTACTTCAATCATATGAAAGCATGAGAAAGTAAACCATGTAGATGTTATCTCCATGATCACTGCATATTGTAGATTTCTAAATATATGTGAGGAATTAATTGTCGTGTAATTTCACGAGAAGCACCACTCAAGGAGTAAAATTAGTCACTTTTATATTTATGGAACTGAAATCAGTGGAAAAAAACTCTTGATCAATCATCCATTCGTGAATTATTATTCTCACGATTTGACGTTAAAGGGTAATTTCACAATAATAAGTATTTGTGAAAAAAATAAGGAATCTACAGTACCTCACTGAATGATGCAGCACAAAGAAAGTAATATGCAGGGAATAAATTTTTTGCAGGTTAATTGGAAATAACCTCTGCTCTTAAATAATCACATTTACAATTTATGAAGATGCTTCTCAGGAGCTGACAAATCCCATTGCCCGACGCCCGGGGGCTAATGAATTTTAGGGGTGGGCAAGTGAAATTTTATCAACCACTTGCCCGTTGGCAAATGACTTATCCACATGTAAGTCAGAAATAAAGCTAGGCACAGGGGCTTGCTTGATCTACTCAGTATTTGTCTTCCTAATTTTTTGAAATATATATAAATATATACAGTATTAGTTTATGGTCATGATGGTGGGGCAAGCAAAAATTCAGGTAGGGCAAGTGAATTTTGACCATGCACTTGCCCTTGGGCAAGTGCCTAAAAATCTGTTTGTCAGCCCCTGGCTTCTTCTTTGTATTTCTCTGTAGGCATGTAAAATTCTGCAGATTTACAATTTCATTTTAAACTGAGGGTATGAAACTCGGTAGATTTGCATACGAAATTCATATTTCATAAACAGTCATTTAGACTTATTCGTTTATTTTAACACAATGGTGTGTTAAACAATACAAAACAATGACCATAAGACTTGTTTAAGTAGGTGCATAGCTTTATTATAAACAAAAGATGATTTGATACTTCATTATGTCTTATGGCTCCTGGCTATTGCTATTTATCTTGTATTTTATGAGATAATGTTATCATCAGATTTGAGCATATATTGAATGAGATTATTTAATTACAGAATGATAAGCTTTTCCAGCAATCTCAAACATGATTTCTTTCTGCATATTTTGACTAATTTGTCATTTCAATTTTTTTTTTGAAATAAAAGTCAGGAAGTACCCTGGCACAAAATTCTTTGGATGTTTTGTGACAACCAACTTCATGTAAATATGCAACACTTGGCAGAAATTACATCTTCACTATACAGATTTCATGGTATTCTGTTCAGAGATTGGATTAATACTGTTCTCTCTTTATCCAGATATGGGAGCAGCTGGATAGTGAAGACAGAGAACAGAGATACAGTAAGCTTCAGTTTCTGTTGAATAAGAGCACGATGTACACCAAGTACTTGTTACAGAGGATTGAGAGACAAAAACAGGAGGACGAGAAAAGGAAGGAGCGCCTCGCCAAAAAATTGGCAAAGAAGGTTTGTAGTGGCACATCAAATGATTATATCATGCCGGGCTTCTTCACTGGGTCTTCCTCCAAAATTGTAATTGAGACTAGGGCTTTTGATATAAAAAGCACTTTGTATATCGATGTGTCAAAGCCCTTGTAGTAAAGGAGAATGGAGCCAGAAGGGCATTTCATGTAGTTTCCTGGAACTATAAGTTTATTTAACATTTTGGGAAAAAAAATAAGCGTATGTGAATGTTATTTTTATTTGCAGGCTCAGATGGAAAGTTCACAAGAAAAGAATCCCCCAGCAGAAGAGAGAAGATCCAACAGAAACAAGCAGTCAGTTCTCAATTCCCCCAGCCAACCTACGTCCTCTCAAGGTAAGATCTATAACTGATATTCATATGCTAGTTTTAACAATTATAGCAGATTGATCAAAAGGTGAAAATGTATTTTAAGACCAACAAATTTAAAAATTCATTTTCTTGAAGTATGCATTGAAATAGTATAATTTTTTTAAAATTGTGAATAAATATTGCAGAGGGGAAAGCAGGTAGAGGTCGAAAAAGAAAAACCCCAACAGATCCGCTGGACCATAAGGTAGACAACAGTGTTTATATTATTAGAAGTTTTGATATGTATGAAAATCTGAACAGTAGTTCAAATGCCTTTTATTCTCACGATTTTGAAATGTCTGTGATCTACAATGAAGGTAGCAATTCAAATATATGAAGAACATTTATCTATGGAAAATATGCAAAGAAACTTAATTCAACATTGGCAAACTTTTAAACTGGATTGTGTTTAAAATTTAAAATTCTTTTAGGCAAATTTCATCTGTCTTTTTTTAGCCTTCTTCAAAGAGGAAAAAAGGAGAAAATGGAGATTCCACAAATTCAGCTGAAAATTCAGAAAACATCACTCCAAACACCAACTCTGCAGATCTTTTATCTGCTGCACAACCAGTCACCAAGGATTCCGGTATAGGCGCTGACAGTATTTCACAGTTAGATGAGGAAGAACGAGCAAAACTGGAGACAGAGAAGAGGTTAAAAAGGGAGGCCGAGGAGAAAATTCTGTTGGAGAAGAATGAGGAACATCCTGTTCTATTTACTGGAGGAAGCCTAAGGCTGTACCAAAAGGAAGGCTACAAATGGCTGAAGGTAAAGATAGAAACAGAAGTAATGTTTTTAGATATTAAGTTTGGGAGATAAAATCATTCATTAACCATACTTTTGAAGTTGTCATGAATATCTGTTAATTTCTGTGTATTTGACTACATGTAAATGTTACAAAGACATTGCATTAAATCCTTGTTTACAAATGAGAGTATTACAGTTGTGAATGAATGTGTATATATGTAAGGATTTTTTGTATTACAGACATTATATGAGAATGGAGTTAATGGAATCCTGGCAGATGAGATGGGTTTGGGTAAGACTGTACAGTGTATAGCGCTGATATCTCACCTAGTTTACCTCGGAGTTACTGGCCCTTTCTTGGTTGTTGCTCCTTTATCAACCATTCCTAACTGGTATTCAGAATTCAGAAGATTTGCTCCAAAGGTCAGTTTGTCATGCTTTTTGAGCTTGAAACATTTTAAAATCAGAGAATAGTTTAATCTGTAAAAAGTTTTTTTTTTGTCTTTTCTATTTAGTTTTTCCTCCAAAAAAATGTAACTTCATAGAGAATAACTTGCAGCTAGGAAAGACAATTTTCTAAATTCAATCAGCAGCAAGTTGTACTAGTTCAAGCCAATTTATCCATTAATGATAAATGTTGTATGTGTATCAGGTACCTGTGGTGCTCTATCATGGAACACCAGAAGAACGCAGTCAACATCGAGCCAAAATTAGGAAAAAGACACAAATTCGTGAGGATGTTGAAGTTCAGCCTGTGGTCATCACATCATATGAAATGACGATGAGGGATAGGAGTCAGCTGCAGCATCACGAGTGGAAAATACTGATTGTGGATGAGGGTCATCGAATCAAAAACACCCAGTGTCGACTCATAAGGTTTGTGATTTTTTTTTGTTTACATAGCTTAAAATCTACCTCATTCACACAAGAGTATAAAGTAAAAGTCAGCATTGTTTATTTGTTCCTTGAATCAATAGTAATTTTTAGTGAACATTTAGTCGTCTATTTGTGGACACACTAACTTCAGACAATTTGTTGTTTGTAGAGAGCTGAGGATGTACAGGAACACTCATCGCTTACTTCTCACTGGCACACCTCTCCAGAACAATCTAGCAGAGTTGTGGTCCCTGTTGAATTTTTTATTACCGGAAATCTTTGATGATCTTGGAAGGTTGTATGATTTATTCATCTTCCGTCTAGAATGTATGATGAAATTTGGTTGTTGATTTTCTTATTTTGTTATTGTTGTGTTGTATTTGTTGCAGTTTTGAAATGTGGTTTGATGTAGAGAGGTTGTCAGTAGATGATGCTGAAGAGAAAATTGTCAAAGAAGAGCAACAGAAAAATATTCTTTCAATGCTACACCAGGTTATTATTGCTTACTACCTCAAAATTGATCAAGCTTTTGAATTGAGAACATACAGTATATAAAAAAAATGTTTACATTTCTACCATAGATTTTGACTCCATTCATGTTGAGACGATTGAAGCAGGATGTTGAACTCAATTTGCCTCCCAAGAAAGAGCTCTTAGTGTATGCTCCCATGTCCTCCATGCAGCAAGAGTTCTACACAGCAACAGTTGACAAAACCATTATAGACAAAATTCGCGAAAAGAATGTAAGCTATTATTTTTAGTAGTGGATTAAAGATTTTTTGGGTATGCATGAAGGAGGAAAAATAGGCCAGTGTGTAAAAGTTTGAAGAGAATAACTTGTAAATAGATAAAATTTAATAAACACTTGATATAGTATAGTGTAGAATTTCACTTGGTCTTGCAGGAAGGACCAGAAGTGGTGGAGTTGGACAGCAATGGCCGACCAGTGAGACGATCAAGGAACAAGAAAGTAAACTACAGCATGATGGAAGGAACAGATGATGATAAGGCTGCTGATTCTGATCTGGAGGAGGAGCTGGAGAAGTGGGTCTGTGATATCCAAGAAAGCAGAGCATCAATGTCTGCCAAGTAAGTCTCGTAAACACAAATGGTAGGAAGAAGAGCAAATATTTTTATTCTCTTTTGAGGGTTAAGATATACTTAAGTTGATTTCAATTCTAGTAGAGAGAAAGTTCCTGCCAAATCAGTGGTGACAATTCGTCTACAACATATCATGATGCAGTTGAGGAAGTGTTGTAACCACCCGTATCTGCTGGAGTATCCCCTGACAGAGAGCGGAGAGTATAAGGTAGATGAGGATTTGGTACAGCTGTGTGGAAAGATGAAACTGTTGGATGTCATGCTAAAAGAACTCAAATCCAGGGGGCACAAGGTATTCAGGAGACACATCATTGTTTTAATTGGTCAGAGATGAAAGGAGACCAGTTACTGTCTTAAAGAGGCAATAGATACACAACTTTTTTATGTTACAGGTGCTGATCTTTTCTCAGATGACCAAAATGCTGGACATCTTGCAGGACTATTGTTATCTGAGGAAATACAGTTTCTGTCGTCTGGATGGTTCGACCAGCATACATGATCGACAAGAGCAGGTGATGAACTAGAATTACTGAAAATTGTTGACATGTTGAGGTATAAGATATTTTTATTTACAATCCACAAAGGTGATTTTTCATGTAAGAGACTCCTTTCCTTTCAGATGTCTGAGTTCAATAATAACCCTGACACGTTCCTCTTTCTATTGAGTACAAGAGCTGGAGGATTAGGAGTCAATCTCACAGGAGCAGATACAGTGATTATATATGATAGTGACTGGGTAAGAAAAGGCTCATTTGTTTCCATAAAATTACATATGTATAGTGCCACATGTAAATTCTCAGCTAAAATGTTGTCATTTCTTTTTTTTTTTACAAAATTCCTATTGAGAAATTTTCAACCTTTATTTCAACTGTTTGCAGAACCCTCAGTGTGACCTCCAAGCCCAGGACAGATGTCACAGAATAGGGCAGACCAAGCCAGTGATTATTTACCGCTTAGTGACGGCTAATACGATTGACCAGAGGGTAGTCGAGAGGGCAGCAGCAAAGAGAAAATTGGAGAAAATGGTCATTCATAAAGGTACCCTATTCTGACTTAATATGGTATTTACCAATCTGCATTGCATCTGTATTGACTATCTGCATTCTAGTGCAGTGTTTTTGAAAAAAAAAAAATCTTGTGAACAATCAAATTGTACACTTGAAAAAGTATTTTTCATTCTTGTTAATAGATTGCAAGTGAATAGATAAAACAATGTCTATTATTATTGAAGATTTTCTTGACTTTGACTATTTTTCTATCAAGGTTGCAAATTTTTACTCCTTTTTCAAATAACAGATAAAAAATTAACTGTTTCATCAATTTTCATGGGGATCAAAGTTTGTGGTTTTGGAAAAGAATGCAATTTCATTGAATGTAAATTTGTGGACAACTACCACATCCTATTCTATAATTAGTAAAATTTATAGTTCACTGATCAGCTAATATTCATATATTAATTCATATTCGAATATTCAATGAAAGTATTCGTATATATTCGTAAAATAAATAAAACCTGGTTTATTTTTCATATGCATATCCTACTTTCATGAAAGATTTTGCGTAGGTATTCTAATATTGGAAGGGAAATTGTATGAAGACTTTTGTAGGTGTACAATAAAGAATTCCATTTGATATTTGCAAAAGTTTCAAATAAATATTTGATTTAAATGTAGAAAAGTATAATATAAACAAATGATACATGTGGGCTTTTTTTATAGTAGTTCCAACTAAGGAACCAATCGTCTTACCAAAGGCAGGATAGTCATATACAGTTCAGATTTCAATACGTGTAATTAATTACAATTATCAGCTTAATAAGAGATATGATTATAATCTTTGATACAATGCTTTTGAAATATATACAAACATTTCCATAGACAATTTACCTAGGTAATTAATTAATTTCCCGATAATAAATATAAAATTCAGGATTATGTAAAACCCGAGATAATCAAGTAATTTACACTTTCATTCTAAAATTGAGCCCTTTACAATGTTAATTACAGACATTCTATTGGACATTCATTCAATGATCAATTAAATTTATTTTGATAGGTATCCTCTTCACGTCTTTTAGACATAAAGCATCATTGTACAATTCTTTAACACCGTACTAAAAACAAAATGATTTTAATTAGTAGGTCTATAAGATAAGAAAGTAGTGAAAGAAATCAAAAAGAAATTAAACGGGGACAATTCCAGCAATGTTCTAACCAAAATTTATTAATCACAGTACTTCTTTTTATGAAATCTGAAAAACACCGAATATTCGAATCTTAAATTCATATTCGAATATCAACTCATCGAATGAATATTCGAATGTTCGAATATTCGTTGACATCCCTAGATAAACCATGGCATTATTAAATGTAAAATCAAATTGATACCAATTTAACTTTTAACACAGGGAGATTCAAATCTGGTATTGAAAGTTTTACGGAGAAATTTAAGCCGTTGAGTCCCCAGGAGTTGATGGATCTGCTGAAGGCAAAGGACCATGAGAAAGAGGTTAAAGATGTGGAAAACTTAAGCAGAGAAGCCATCGACAGTTTGTTAGACAGGTCTGATCTGTATGCTAAATGGAAGAAAGACCAGGGGAGTGCCACAAAATCCAAAAAAGCTAAAGGTATCATACAAATTTATGAATAACTTATAAATACACTTACGAGGATGTTTGTTAAAAGTAGATGGTAGACTTAAGTACTCATAGGTTTATCCTTGTATGGCATAAACTTGATAAGCAACTCCAGATAGTGAAAGTGGTACAGTCAATACCTCAAAACTGTGAAGCATTTCCAGATATTAAATGCCTAATCTGTTATTTTAAGTATATACCTAACAAATGTATTGAGAAACTTTGCATCACAAAGAGGGGTTTTATTCATGTATATGTATGTTTATTTTCACCTATATGTGTATGAGAATTGTTATGATTGTGTTATTTTTCTTTACAGCAAAGAATTCCCTGAAAAAAGAGAAAGCTACAGACTTGACATCTGTGTTTTCAGTCATTGATGAAGATGTGCAGTGAAGTGTGAAATCCATGAGGCTTTATTTCCCAGAGAGGAAAACCTCTCACCACGTGACCAGAACTTAAACCATGTTGTGTTCAACTTCACACAAAAACTTAAACCTTATTGTGTTCAAACTAGAAGAAACCAAACATTTTTTCTTCAGTATCAAATAAAATATGAACTAGTTGTTCCTATTGAAGCCAATTTTGACAAAATTTTATTAACAACACAGAAATTGATGAACTTTCATCTTACTTAAATTGGTGTTTTTTGCCATCAGCATATTGTAAATACATATGTAAACCAGAAAATGGTGCTCATTATTATTTTAGTATGTATACAAATTTTATTTTAACAATACAATATCTTCTTTATTACATGTTTTAACAACTGATCATTTGCTCTTAAGATGTGAGGATTTAATTTTAACATTTCCAAGTATTGGATGTATAAATGCTTGTTATTTTGTGTATTACTAAGGACTGTAGCATGTGTCAAAAAGTAAAATAACATGAATGTCCTTCTATGATTGTAGAAGTAGTGCTACGTAGATTTATAGAGCTAGCATTTACTTTTTGTTTTTATCTGTGAGGGGGTATTCGCTCTTAAACAAGTTACATGTATGGAAGTGAATTGGTTTTTTTGTGTTCTATAAAAGTTGAATCTTGCAGTGAAACGGTTGTATACATGCATGTTAGTGTGAGAAATTAACAGTTCTTGAAATTTATAATTTTACAAATAGAGGAGATTTATTAATACTAGTATAGATGTGAGTATAGCTGGAGACATGCATTGTGAGTACTATGTCTTTCACTAGATATTTTGTAAATGTCACAATCCAGAAATAAATCATTTTTGGCTGCAATAGCACTTGTTTATGTGAGTGAATATCTTGCTTGCTAATAACTTGTATGCATTTGGAGACAGGTATTGAAATTATAATGTAATTATTGACATTCAAGATAAAAACATTCATTTATGATGAGAAGAAAAAAAAGAAGTCTGTGAGCCAATGCTCACTAGTCATACCCCCACTTTGATGTGAATATACACTCTGATGTGAATGTACACAAGTTCAGTTACGGACAGACACAGGATAAACAGGAAGTTGACATCGGATTCAAACAAAAGTAAATCCTACCATATGGCATGCCTAAACAAACAGTGTGCTAAAATTTCATACCTCTGCAATGAGTAGTTGCTGAGAAAAAAGGGACAAAATTAGTTATGTATGGTACGGACAGACACATGGATAAACAGGAAGTCGACATCAGATTCGTACAAAAATGAATCCCACCATATGGCACGCCTAAACAAACAGTGTGCTAAATTTTCAAGCCTCTGTAATGAGTAGTTGCTGAGAAAACTACGACCAAAATTTGTTATGTATGGTTTGGACAGATGCACGGATAAACAGGAAGTTGACATCAAATTCGTACAAAAATTAATCCCACCATATAGCATGCCTCAACAAAGTGTGTGCTAAAATTTCAAGCATCTGCGATGAGTAGTTGCAGAGAAAACTGAGACGAAAAATTTGTTATGGACGGACAGTCGGACAGACACACAAGGTAAAACAGTATACCCCCTCGCCTTCGGAGCGGGGGTATAAAAAGAAAATTAAGCACAGTAATTTACAGCAACTTATTCAGGCAAGAACTTTTGTAAGGATAAGGAAACCTAGTGAAAACCAGTTCATTTGTTGATATGAAGGTTTTGTAGTGTCATAAAAATCATTACAAACTATTTTCGCTTTGAAATTTTAGCTGTGAAAATTTGCATAGTTTAACTCATCACCTTAAGCTAAATTGAGGTCCCATGGTAAAAACTGAGAACGTATGAACTAGCATATGGCCCTTTGAGTCCATCAAGCAACACTTGACACAAGGTTTAAGGATGGATTCTCTTACTTAGTATATTGAAATATTAATGAACTTTCAACAGATTCAAGAATACAATATCATTTATAATTAATATTATTATATCAGAATTTACCGTCTTATTTTAATAGCAAGGTTGGGTCAAGGTCATTATCTTTTTAGCTCACCTGAGTTGAAAGCTCGGGTGAGCTTTTCTGATCACTTATTGTCCAGTGTCCGTCTGTTAACTTTTCACATTTTCAACTTTTTCTTCAGAACCGCTGGGCCATTTTCAACTAAATTTTGCACAAAGCACCTTTGGGTTTATAAGAGGATTCTAAATTATACAAATGAAGGGCCAAGCCAGCTTCCAGGAGGAGATAATAAGAAAAAGGACAAAATAGGATGGGGTCATTAAAAATCTCAAGAACCACTCGACCAGAAAAGGTGAAACTTATGCGGAAGCTTCCTGAGGAAGTGTAGATTCTAAATTGTTCAAGTCATGACCCCCTGGGGTTAGGGTGGGGTCTCAATAGGGGATGGAAGTTTTATATTGTAATATGAATATGAGAATAATCTTTAAAATCTTCTCGGGAAACACAGGGCTAGAATTGGGAAACTTGTGTGGAAGCTTCATGAGGAAGTGTAGAATTTTTAAAAATTGTTCAAATCATGGTCCCTTGGTAAGGTGGGGCCTCAATAAGGGATCAAAGTTTTACATTTGAATATATATATATATATATATATATATATATATATATATATATATATATATATATATATATATATATATATATCTATCTATAATCTTTCAAAAAATCTTATTCTTGTTAAACACAGATCCAGAACCGGGAAACTTTTGTGGAAGCTTCTTGGGGAAGCGTAAATTTTAAATTGTTTAAATCTTGACCCCTGGGTAAGGTGGGGCCTCTATAAGGACCAAAGTTTTACATTTGAATATACAAAAAAAAAAAAAATTAAAAATCTTGTCAAGAACCACTGGACTAGAAAAGATGAAAATTATATGAAAGCTTCCAGATATAGAGATATAGTGTAGATTGTCAATTGTTCGATTTATGGAGTCCGGCGATAGGGTGGGACCACAATAAAAATCAACGTTTTATATTGAAATACATTGGAAAAATCTCAAGAAGAACCACTGGACCAGAAGAGATGAAACCTATGTAGAAGCTTTTGGATTCATAGACCCTTGGAGTTAGGGTGGGTTCAATCGACCTTTTGGATTCAGAAACACCTTGGAGTTAGGGTGGGTTCAAATGGGCTCACAAATTCAAGGAAATAGAAAAATATCCTAAAGAACAGCAGAGCTTAAGTAACTTGATGAGCACTGTGGCCCATGGGTCTCTTGTTTCTTATATTTAAGGATAAAATAACATAAATTGGAAAGAGGAATCAACAACTCATCAAAATATAACCAGACAAGTTGTGTTTTTTTCACTCTCGAACCTACTACAGACATTTAGTAATAGTAGGATTTTAGTTTTCAATATTTCTCAATTTTTCAATGCTTCTTTTCCCAAAGAAACTTTTCTTGAGAATAGCTCTAGTTAAATTATTGCAGGTTCATGTCACAAACAAGATTAAAATGCCAGTTTTTCTTAAAAGTTTCAAGATTGGCTTATTCATTAAAGTGTTGATTCGACTGAAAAATGATAATCAGAATTTTTATTCGTTTGGGTTGGATACCCACACGAGCTACAAAGTATGATTTTAACTGACAGAATTTACCATAGAGAAGTATTATTTGGCTCAGTTTTCAATGTTCATAACATTGCAATTAACAGAAAATGAATTTGATTTTTTTTTTAATCCAAAGCCAAAAAGCACTATCCATGCCTTATTCCAGTATATTCTTTTCAGGGGTAAACGTTCTTTTAGCATATGATTGTTCATTTCATATTTACAGGCCAGAGGTCTTACCCAGTGGCACAGAAACAGGGAGTGGTTTATTATTGAAAATCCCCATAATCTTTTAGCCTCACTTGAGCTGAATGCTTAAAGTGAGCTTTTCTGATCACATTTTGTCTAGTATAAAATCTATCTGTCCATCTTTACCTTTTAAAATTTTCGACTTCTTCGACGGAATTACATGGCAAATTTCCACCAAATTTGCCACAAGACATTCTTTGGTGTAGGGGTTCAAGTTTGTTAAAATGAAGAACCACACCGTCTTTCAAGGGGAGATACACCAGTAATTTAGAATAAGTAACAATTTGGTGACATATTTAGAAAATATCTTCTCAGGAACCACTGGTTTAGTAAAAATGTGAAAGTTTCTTGACAGTGTAGATTCAACTTTGTTTAAATCATGGCTCCTTGGTAAAGGTAGAGCCGCAATAGGCGATCAAGTTCTACAATCATATATATAGAAAAAAATTAACTTTTTTTCTTCTCAAGAACAACAGAGCCATAATTAGTGATATTAGTATGCAAACATCCCAAGGTAGTGCAAATTCAAGTTTGTTGAAATCATAAGAACGACAAAACCATGATTAGTCATAACATGCAAGCATCCTCGGGTAGTGCAAAATGGAGTATATTGGATGCCACAATAGGGGATCAAAGTTTTACAAGGGAACATGAAAGGAAAAAAACTAAAATCATCTCAAGAACAGCTGAGCCCTTATTAGGTTTTTAACAAGAACTACAAGTACATGTAATGTACATGTAACTACAAGTATATCCATGTTTTTTCTTGAAAGTTCATCAATACAGTAAATCGTATCATATAAGGAAAATAATCAAATCTCAAATACATATATATTATCAGGAATCATGTGTGAAAGTACCAATTACGCATTTTCTAATTGAAAATTGATCAACACGTATACTTTAGGATAAAAACTATAGGTATCCAGGCATTCGGGAGAAAATACATTTTTTTGAAAAAATATATATGCGGTATTTTCGTTTTATATATATATATATATATATATATATATATATATATATATATATATATATATATATATATATATATATATATATATATATATATAAACTTCAATCTTATATAAAGCATGTGATATAACAAGACATCACAGGTCACTTCCAAATTCATTTCATGCTAATAAACATTGGTATCTTAGGCAAGATTTTTTTTTAAAAAAAAATCGATTTCTCTAAAATTATTTGTTTTACTTTTATGGGGTACAAATGTCAACTTTTCACAAGACCATTTCTAAGACTTGAAAGAACCTTGAATCATGTTAAGATGCTTTTAAAAGATTTCGTCCACTTTTTTTCCCTATGAGTGCAAATTAAAAAATTCATATTACAAACAATCTAAAATATGGAATCTTATTAAGGGTGAATTTAACATATAACATTTAACATCTACAGCATAGGCGCTCCCCATGTAATTCTGTACATGACAAATGATTATATATATATAATTATATATATATATATATATATATATATATATATATATATATATATATATATATATATATATATATATATATATAGGTCTATTCCTTCTATACTATAAAATATAGTATAGAGGGGTAGACCTATATATACATTGTACTTATCCTTCGTCATTTACAGAATTACATGGGGAGCGCCTATATGAAATTGTGTTTCGCGGAATTATAACCCCATGAACAAATTAAAAATACATTTACAGTGTTCTGGGAAAAAAAGAAGAACAGTGACATTTATATCTCGTATAATTATTATATAAATATCTTTTTACCTACAGATTCATGATCTAAATCACTAAAAAGAAAGTAGACAATTTGTATAATAATATATTGAGGAATGTATCGAACATTTTTTGCAGTAAAACGGATTAAACAAGCAAAAATC